CAGAGGCGTCGCGGTTGGGGCGGCTTTGTCGCTTTCTCTTTGCCAGCGCGGGGCTTCCCTTCTGCGGGTCTGCACCGAAGACGGCTGGAGACGGAGCGAGGGGGAGCCAGCCTGCCACCCGGGTTACGTATACCGTAGGCCTGCCTTTCTGCCTACCCAGGCGCCTGCCGAGGGAGGGAGCGGCGGTTGCTAAGCTAAACAAAAACCGAGCCGAGAGGAGCTCATTGGGCGCCGGGCAGCCCGCTCTCGCCATCGGGAGCGAGGGGCGCGGGGCTGCGCTTTTCCCAGGTTTTGAGGGGAAAAAAGATTAGGGGGTGGGGAAGAGAAGCCTTGCCGCGCTGCTCTTCCTCCTGCCCCCGACATGCCACCTCTTATGGACCGGTCTCTCCGTCGTTTCGCCTCCGACGGATGCTTTGAATGAGAACGCTCTTGGAAATAACCGCCCGAACTAGCTAGCCTCGTTCGCAAAGGGGACCGAGGACGTAGCGTTGTTTTTCCCTTATTCGCGGAAGCATCTTTAAGCAAGCCGTCCGTTTGAGGCCCACTGGAAAACTCTATGCGGGGCTAGAATTTAGCTCCACCTGCCTCACCATTCGCTCTTCTTCCTGCCCGAAAGAGGCGGCTTCTGTGAGAAGGCTCGGCTTTAAGATTGCGTTGGCAAACAGACAGCTTCTCCTTAGCAGTTATTTCCATTTTTGTGTGTGTGTGTAATACATGCATTTATTGGTGCTTTTACGCCGCTCCGTTCCTTCCTCCTCCCAGGGCTCATCGCACCTGAACGTAGCAGCGATTGGGGAAAAGAAACCAATCCCGGAGAGAGTCGGTTAATTTCTCAGGAGGCCTAGAATATTGCTGGGAGTGTCTATGAGTAACTCTGCTGAAATAGATGGCTGTTTCGGGCAGCATTGTTAGGCTTTTTAGACCCTGCTCACAAAATGGCTGTCACAAGGTCCTCTGGCTTCTTCCCAAAATGCACCCCACATCTCCCCATGGAGAAGATGCCCAGTCACTTCTTAGACAAACTGTTCAGAATGCATCCTGCCAATGATTTCTTATATCCCAGGTTGCTCCGTAGTGACACAATTTAGCATTTAAAAAACATTTAAGATGCTCTAGAACAGTGTTTCTCAACCTTGACAATTTTAAGGCATATGGACTTCAACTCCCAGAATTCCACAGCCAGCATTGCTGGCTGTGGAATTCTGGGAGTTGAAGTCCACATGCCTTAAAATTGTCAAGGTTGAGAAACACTGCTCTAGTGATGGCGAACCTTTTAGAGACTGAGTGCCCAAACTGCAACCCCAAACCCACTTATGCATCATCCGGTGCCGGGTGGGTGTGGCCCATTGGCTGGGTGTGGCCCATTGGAAGGGTGTGGCCCATTGGGTGAGCGTGGCTGCAGTGGTAACGGCAGTGGGTGGGACTAAAAAGTTCAATCAATCAATTCAAACTTTGCAAGATCTTTTTTTTTTCTGCGAGAAGTTGAAATTGACTGATTGATTGAACCTTTTTTTTTTTTGCACACGGCAGCAGAAGCCTAAGGCAAAAAGGTTTTATAAAACCCAGCTGTAGGACTGGGGCGACGGTGCACATGCCCACAGAGAGGGCTCTGAGTGCCACCTCTGGCACCTGTGCCATAGGTTCGCCACCACTGCTCTAGAATATTATTTCCCAACAGTAATTCTTCAGCCTGTGCATAAATAAGGATGCTTAAAATTGGCACTTTGCTTCACCTCATGCCAGCTGATTTTTTTAAATTTATAAGGCTATAAATGATAACTTTCATATTTAATAATCACAGAATAAT